TACTCATTGTCCTCGACACCTTCAAGTTCGCACTTGCCATTCGGAGAATCAGCATCATATTCAGCACTATCGCCATCTTTGGGGTCACTTAAATCACTCCAGTTGACATCTTGAATAATGTAGCCCATATAATCTTCATCAGGATAGCCATCATCGGGCTTTTCTTCATCATCATGGAATGCCCAGGTAAGGTCGTGCTGAGGCTGTAACGTCTTCTTGGAATAGATACACTTGAAACATAACAGGTAGTGAGGACAACTTTCACACATATGGATGTTGCTAACTAATGCCTATTCCCCGACATTAAAAACATGAGGCTATTGTGACCCAGTGGTTGAATGATCAACACTTATCATAAGATATGCGAGGCAGAAGCCCCTGACAGCCCGCCTCACTGGTTTGATGTTTCATGCCAATGTGTAATTCCAGAAACTTCTATATTCGCTATTGTTGATTCGCCCACTAGGTGGAATATGGTAAGTTTCCAAGTGTTATAGATGAGGGAAGTATTGTTCGGGCTACGAAACCCTAACAACAAGCAGTCGCAACAACGTTCTACATCCAAAATCCCCCTCGTCCATAACACTTGGAAACCTAGCATATTCCATTTGTATGAAGGTTGCACGATGTATAAAATGTCTCCTTCTCCCTACCGACTGAACAAACAGTTGTTGGTAAGATTAGACCTCTCCAAAAAACAGATACTTACCCAAAGGTTAGGTGGTCAAACACTTCCATGGAATGAAGGTTTTAGCAGAATCGATTGTCAAGAAAGTCCAATAAGAAGGATCCAAGGCTCAACCTCTTCATGAAACCAGCAAAGTGACTCATGGACAGTGACACTACTGAGAAATGGAGCAGTATATCGAGCCTGGATCGAGATCTGGTGTCCAGTACCATAGAGAACTCGTTCACTTAGCTATTGAGATCAACAATCGATTACGTTTCCCACAGTAAGTTCAGGAGTAATTTAGTAATCTGGACATGAATTTGTGCCCTTCTGCATGCTAGAAATTCTTTCCTATATATATCCATACGCAGCTGCAGTCCTTCCGGACCAATATGTAATCGGACATGATATGTACACTCAACCCAATTAAGAGCGATATAAAGTGCCTTGGAAAAGGCTGAAACCAAAAAGCTGCCTGTTACCGGCAATGAAAAGAAAACGTGAAACCCCATTCAAGGAATCTCCGCAGTAGGCACCTTCTCTGCACTAGGCTCATCCTTCTCATCAACCTCATCTGAAGTCCACATAGATTCACACATGAAAGGGCTACGATGACGGATCTGAGGACCCTTCAGCACTAAAACAACAGGGACAACCGAAAGCGCGATACCGATAAAGCCTAACAACGAGCCGGCCCATCCAAAGCCGAGATTGGAGAACAGCTGAGGAGAAGCCAAGGGCAAGAAAGCACCGAACGAGTTACGTCCCAAGGAAGCAGCCGATAGAGCCGAGGCAGCGTATTTCTCATACGCGTCGGTCAGGTAGTTAACCACAGCCATGTAGATGGAGTAGATACCGATACCGGCAGCTGTGATACCGATGGTGGGCACAATCCAATGCACATCGGGCATACTGGCCCAACCATACCAGAACAGGCCAGCTGCGAAGAGCAAACTACCAGGAATGGCGGTGTAAAGACGAGCCTCGGGGATGGGCTTCCCCGGCTTTTCGGAGTTGCGCTTGGCTGAACCCAGATAGATCCAGTCCTGGAGCGGGTTGATGGCTGTACCGATGACCGCACCCACGGAGATAGCAAGTTGTACGAGACCAGTAGCCATAACACCCCAGCCATAGTTGGTGCTGTAAGTTTGGACAACACTGGAGAAGAATAGATACAAGATACCCCAGGCAAAACTGATCCAAAGTGTAAAAAAGATCACCACAGGTTCAGTCAAAAGCATGCGTGTAGGACGTTGAAAGGAGATTTGCAGAAGCTTGAGAGTGTTGACTTTGTCGAGCTCTGCTCGAGCGTAGACAGGTCGACCGGTTTCCTTCCGGATCTTTCGGGCCCGTTTCTTCAAGATCACATCCGGGCGGGTTTCGCTGAGGATCAGGTAGAATACGGGGATGAGGGCGGCATTATAGATAATCTGAATATAGAAAATCCTGCAAGACATACATAGTCAGGCATAGGTGTTTGATACATGAAGAGATGAGATAGCTTACCAACGCCAGGGGTCAGACTTGTGGATCTGCACAATGGCCGAACCGATGAATGGGCCCAGCGCAATACCTACAACACTGGTGAAGCCAAACAATGACATAGGCAGACTGCGAGCCTCCTCGCCCAACCAAACGTCACTAATGCTTCCTCCGACAATGTTAATGGAGACCGACGAGGCTCCGCCACCAAAGAAACGGGTGACTACCAGCGTAGCGAAGTTATTCGCGAATGCCGATGGGAATAGTGAAATCACCAGAATCACATAGGCCACAAAGTACCCAGGCATACGACCAGAAGACTCAGTGAGAGGCACAAAGATCAACGGCCAGAAGGCAGCGCCCATATTCCAGGACGTCGTTGCCCAGTAGAGGTTGGGAAAGGGGGAATTCTGAACATGGAACTTCTCTTCCATCCAGTCATTCCCAGAGCCATACGTTCCTGCCGGAAGTCCAGTCAATATGGAGCTGTTTGAGAAGTGGTCAGCGCTGATCCAATCAAAGGGAAGAGCGATGGAAATCTCACATGAAGCAGACGGTAACTGTTAGGAGCCATTTGTACTTGAGACTCCAGTTGAACCTAAGAAGGATCAGTAAGTACGAATACAACCATCATAAGAGACATAATGACTACATACGGGTTCTCAGGATCATTTGGACCGTTCCAAGTGTGGATTTCGATGTCCTTGCTGCTACGCAGTTCATCGGAGTCGACATCATTATCAAAGCCGAAGAAGCCCTTCAGCCTAGGACGGTGTCAGCCCGACCGTGATAAAACACACAACATATATTTAGGGTCCTAACCTGTCCAGAAAAGAATTACTGGACTGACTGTGCGGGGCGTTGTTGGCGGGTTGATTGACCATCGTAAGAGACAGTCAACAGAAAGGCGCTGGCGTCAGTGGATTTCGAACCAATCTGACCGTCTCATGAAAAGGGAATAGAAGAAGGAACAGGAAACTGAACCGCCGATGTCTACATTTGAAGAGCTGAAAACTCGTTCAGATGAGAAAGTTAATTCGGGGCGTTCCTAGACTGTACCTCCGAAAATTCCGTTTCGGCATGCCGAACAGACAAGTAAAAAGCATGAGAGCCGACTGAGTATTTCGTCATTATGGAGTACTCCGTACGGAACCCTCGGCCACTTTGATGGCAAATCCATTCTTGGGGCCGGTGAAGAGCTTCAAGCTCTGTGAAAGGTCAAAGCACTGGAAGACCCACGGGTATAGCTCCACAATGCCTTGGGTGGGGAACGACTAATGCAACGTTCTCGACGCATCTGCTAACTCCTGACGCAGTGCTTTTCGATATTTGACTCGGTACATCCAAGGAACCTCGTTTTCAGAACAACCACACCCCGGAGCATATTCGTGAAAACTGTAGTTAACCTTGCAATAGACCACTGGAAAACCTGAGCTTCCGGTTGGCTCTTTTATCCGAACGGTGGTCTATGACGAACTACATCTGCTATTGGCCTTGAAAGAGAACTTTTCTCGAAAACAAGCCCATCTGGTAGCATTTCCACTTTTCTGCCCCTTTTCTTTTACGTTTGCTAAGGCTTTCTAACAATTGCTACTATGAAAGGCATTGATCGCTCGTTGAGCTAGTGCATTGTTTCTATATTGATCCACCCACCATTCTAGGGTCGTAACCCTCTCTACACAGAAGATTGTAGCATAATTATTCTTCAATGTGGTCTTCTTCCTCCCTCATATAATAGCCGTAAATCTCTCACTTACATTCACGGTACCGCCGAAGATCTTCCGTCAGAGGCGCGATGTGGCAAATCGAACGGCAAACTCTAAAACCCTAACTCGGAATATCATCACTTGTTCAACTGATGCCCTTTTTTGATGGCATTTTCTGATTTTTATTCTCTGTGCCTTTTTCTTGATTACTTGTAATAAGTCACTCGTCCTTTGGTAAAGTAGGCGAAGGAAAATCTCAGAAAGTCTTTGTTATGGTACCTGACTATCTTTCCACTAGGATACTGTGTAATTATTCTAAATTGGATAGACGACTGAGGTGGGCCCTTGCATGGATTTAATTTGCACGGACCGCCCCACACCTGGCTTTCTTATGCCTTGAAAATGGGCTCTTAGGATAATCAATTATTAATTGAAGAAAGCACTGTGTAGCTTTTCTCTCTCTCTCTCTTTTTTTTTTTTTTTTTTTTTTTTCCTCGGAGCGATGGAATCCGACTGGTAGCCTGCGAAGTCTGTACAAGCTAGTTTTAGGTAGTATCTACGCCAACGTAAACGTTTTTCAGCATAATCACGCGTCGGATCAAGCTTATCTAGGCGTTAATTTACTCACATTGTTGTAGACTATACTGCAAACACTAAGTTTTCACTATTTTGGATACTAGGAGTAAAAAGAAAGTTCCAAACCCCCTTGGTCGATTGTAAGATGAGACATATGTCTCGAGGAGTTGACCCACAGCATTAGCTAGCCTGTAATTTCGAAAGCACCGGACAACAGCAGAAAGATAATGGAAACCACGATTGGGATAGTGTCGCGGAATCAACTTCCGTAGGCATTGTGTGGTTCGCCCTGAGATGTGGAGCCAAGCCTCCAGAGATGACATTATTGCAAGGGCATAGACTTTAAATCAGAACATATAAATTCAGGTTCATTGTTTGAAGATAACTCGTCTAGTATTTGGCTGCACTATTTCCCTTGTACAGCGTAGCTATGATCAGATGATTTGGATAACAAATGATTCGCTTACAGAATGTATCTCAACATGTATCTCACCATCGTACGTGTCAGGATTATTTCATCTACCCTCTCATCTTGAACGATACAACCAAGATTCCCACTATTTCACTTATTCCACATGTTCTACCATAAGACCACCGGCCTTCTTTGTCTTGACTTCCCCGATCATTTTCATCTTATGGTCTTCGTGCTCGATGTACTTTAACGGGGGTTTGGCAGAGATGGCGTCCGGATCCTTAATGACGATCAATGACGGGTTCGAACGGTAGTGTGCGTCGATATCTTCCAGGGTACGATTCGCTATAACAGATTCAAGATAAGTACTTCTTCGAAGAAAGAATAACTGTAAGGACAACGTACCCGTTTCTGGGTAAACGAAATAGATGGCTGGCAAAAAGGCGGCGTTGAACACTGTCCAAACAATCCAGAACTTCCAACCGATATTTTGGATTCTAATAGGAGTGATTTCCACGATGACGAAGTTCGTGATCCTAGGCAAATCAGCAGAATCCCTAGATCAGATTATATGGGGCCAAGAAGGTTACCAATTCGTTGCCGTCGCCACAGCAGCTCCCTTGTTCCGCATTTGGAGGGAGCTGAGCTTTGTAGGATAAAGCCACGGAATCTCGAGCATACCAAGACCAAAGAAAATGTAGAAGAGAAAGAAGAACACAGTAGAGGCGGAACCAAACCTATGTCCTTCGGCAGCACCAGCATTGGCCTCCGCATAACGCAGCAGGATCGTAATGATGAGGAACGCAAAGAACTGGCCGGCAGTAGACAGCATCATCAGACCATGGCGTCTCATCCTCTCGATCAGTCCTACTGCACAGCAGGTATAAATTAAATAGGTGATGGAATTAACCGCCGTAAGAAGGCGTGCCATCGAATTAGAAAGCCCGACAAAGTTCATACGGACAGTGGGTAGATAATAAGATATTATATTCACACCTTTAAATCGTTGCATGAGTTGTGTGCCGGTGCCGAGGATCAGCCGTCGCAGGGTTTTGGAGTCTGTGCTGTCAGTCTTCCTGCGTAGGAGAATGTCGCGCCATCGGATGGCATTTTCTCGCTCGTAGTAGATCGTGTATTCGATTTCATTTTTCTGTGCTACAACTTAGGGGTCATTGACGGGCTTGGCTTCGATACATGAAAGGATTTCGATGGCCTCTTTCTCGTATCCCATTTGCATGGGCCATCTGGGTTTAGGGTAGCACAGTGAGTAAATGACCCGAGACACATTTGTAGATCTGGACAGGGAAAGAGTAAGCAACGCACCCCGGGGACTCAGGAAGCCGTGGGACTGTTGCAAATAGAACGAATGTGAACATGAGCTGGAAAGCGATTCGGAAACCGTCCGGCCACCGCACCACCAGCAAATGAAAGACCGTAGTTGATCCAATTGACCATAGAAAGGCCAAGGATGTTCATGACCATTTCCAGGGAAACGAGCTTCCCTCTCCATTTGGGCGAGGAAGTCTCTGTTTGCTAGATTGGCGCTGTCGATGTATTGATCTCATTTCCGAAACTGGCCTCACCTCAGTCATTGAAACGGAATCGAAGTAAGAAACCAAACAATTCAAAAACATACCCGAGAATTACCCAACCAACGAATATCTGTGGAAGACTGTACGGCACGCACTTGAGAAGGGTACCGATCGCCATAAGGGTGGTTCCTAGTAGGATTGACTTCTTTCGAGGCGCTCCCAAGGCTGAAGGCCACGGTGCGCCGAAGAAACACCCAACATCGTAGATGGCAGTGACAGTGGAGGGCGTCTTGGTCTTGATCGTCCTACTAGATTGTGAACCACCAGAAAGTCCTCCGCAACCACAACGCCGCCTTTTCGAAGACAATTGTCAGTATCATATGCGGCCCTCTCAAGGGTCAGGCTCTTGGGAAAATCATACCGAAAAGACCTTGATCGTATCCAAACAAACTCATGTCTGTGGCACAGGCAGCTTGCTCAGTAAAACAAGGAGTTAGCCGTATAAGGGGCATATGAATCCAACAGAAAAGGAACTCACGGTAATCCAGAATGTTAGCCACCCCCTTTCAACCCAAAGTAGGGTTCTTTCTTGGAGTCCATTAAGGAAGCCATTGCGAGAAAAAAAGAAAATACAACTTGAATAGATAAACTCGAGAGAGATAGAAGAAGACTCCTCCTACTCATTCCTGCTACGCTGAGAGTGAGACGATTCGAATAAGACCGCTCTTTATGCAAGCTGGAAGAGACACTTGCGGCTGTAACTGATATACATGCATTTTATGTCATGCTCGGCCCGATCTTAGCATCACCGAAATCGGTAAAGCTAAATCAACACCCCACAGCGTCGTGCGACACTTGCGGGGTGAACGCATTGCTAATGTTGGGATTGAGTCTGGGGAACTACAACGCATGGTTTTGACAGCATGTTCCATGATCAAACAGGAAATTTATGGAATCCACGCCCGCCAGGTTGCAAAGATTCATTAGACTAATAAATCTTATCTTGCCGCCCCGGCAACACCTCTTTTGCCTTATCCACAAACCACTCCTCACCAGATCATCATCGTGAAAACGAGCAACTACCAGTCTTGGTCCCCTAGCGGGTTGTTGTTAATTCGATCCATAACTTAGGGCTAAAGCATATCCACAACAAGGAGGCGGTAAACAAAGGGTACATTTAATCGTCTTCAGCGTCACCTGATTTGCAACGTGAGGGGAATTTTCGTATTATAGCACCACACCCATCAAAATAAGATCTTGCATGATCAGCGATCCTTCTCATACTACAATAGCAGATTGATTGTGCTATTTTACCATTCTCATGTTCTTGGACCTTGTATCCTTGCAACTGCACTGCATGTGTGTTTGAACCGCAGCAACTCTCTGATTCTGCCAAGAAACCGGTGTCATGGCAAGGACAATTCCGCGTGTCTATACTGAGGCCGAGCGTCTGGAACAACAAAATCTTCGCCGGGAGAGAATTAGACAGGAAATAGCAAAGGAAAAAGTGGCTTACGCAAGAGCCTTGTCGTCATCCTGGCCGCTCGCATCTATCCCGCGAAGCTGGAAAACAGAACCCTACGCATGGGAGTACGAAAGTCTACAGGGCTCAATGGCTCCTGTCCCTGAAACAGGCTCAATTGCGCATGCTAACTCACCCTGCCAAGATTCGCAGGAATCTAGCCACGACAATCCGACACCGATAGACTCGCCCAAGTCAACAAGCATGATTGAAGCGCTGCCCCTTGAGCTTCTGGAACTAATTGTTCGAATTGCTCTGGACCTCGATGAACAACAGAAACCCACTGGCGCTCCCAAAGTTTGGGAGCCGTATCCCATCAATGATTCCTCCAAGGGAAAGCTTCCTCCAGGACGAATGGTCAGCCGGACTGCCTTGCCACTCATCCTTAGCTGCAGGACACTGCGCACCATCACCCATGCAATCATACTTTCACATGTTCAATTTTGGAGTCCCAACAACCGGCAAACGGATTGGCTGCTGACGTCTCTAGATAAAGGGAGTCTACTGTCTAGATTAAGGCATGTCGCTATTAATCTGGACGGCAACAGTAGTAATACTTGGGATGGCAAGGGCCAGACCTATGGGGATGATGAGTGCAGCTATCAACTCGTGGCAAATGGATCGGCACTTTTGGAACGTCTTCCTGATGACCTATCCAGTCTCTCTCTCACGACGCAAGATGACGGGGACTACTCATCCTACATTTACTTTGGGAGGATACATCCAGCTTTCCAACAAAGTCTGGCGAGGCTCCGCAATCTCCGCCATCTTGAGCTGGATTTCTACAACCAGTGGCTTTCTCTTAACTTGTGGTGCGCGAAACCTCCTGTCTCGATGACCTTTCTTGCCAAGGACGTGGCCCTTCCACCCCCAATGTTTCCCAACCTCCGGCACCTTTATCTGACCGGCTGCTTAAGCGAGAGTGTGACCTCAGAAGACGTCATAGTCGCGTTTTCTCAACAGCAGCTACCCTCCCTGCAGTCCTTGGTTATCGACCGTCTGCTCTATGAGGACGAGGGACCTCCAGTCTTTGTTCCTGAGGTCATCAAGCATATGAACCCTCTGAGGGAATTTAGTTGGCTGAATTACGATTTTGGGATAGAGATTCGACGCTCCCTGGGTGATCCACATGATCTTCCCATGAGGGAACACCTCGAGGCTCTAAAGCGCCATCATGGCGTAACACTGGAGCTGTTGACACTGAATTATAACGGGGAATGGGGGAGACCCGAGTATGATTTCACAGAGGACTATCTGAAAGATTTCATCAAAGCGATACCGACCTTGAACAAGGTCTATATCGATATCCCAGGTATTGGGGTTAAGATCACAGTGGGTCCGTCCACAATAGATGACTAGGCCTGTGGGAGTTCGGCAAACTCAGTTTTAAACGCCTTGGCCAAAGTCTTTGCAAATTCCTTCTTAGTGTCTAATACCTAAATCGTTCAAGCGGCGAAGCCATTCGTCCCGGCTCCGCCATCTAACACGCAACCCCTCCTTAACGATACTGGGCAGGTGTAGAATACTGCGGTGCAGTAATAGGACATATTCATCCACCCAGATGTTGTAAATTACTCAACTTGAAAGCATCGAACCAGCAGCGTGCTATCATTGATCCGTTTAGAATGATGCTAGCCAAGACTTTCTCGTTCGCTAAGTTATGCCTCGGTTATGGAATATCTATATGCATATCCTAGCAGACCAGGCGGGGAAAGTCGCTGATCTGCGGGGTTTTCCCGATAGAAACTAATAGCCACTTTATATCCAGTCTGTCTCAATCTTGATTAATTATTACGCAATAACAATACTAACAATCCCTTCCAGTACTTTTTCGTTAAAGATTTATAGCACCAACACAAAAACTAAATTGTGAAGTCTGTAATGCCCCAAATCTAAGGGATCGTCTGCAACATCACGCCGAACCCTAACTTGCCTCTAGCGCAAAAAGTATCCCGAAATGCCGATTAATCCTAAACCTATACGCAGCAGGGGACAAGAGACACGTACCGAGAATAAATGTTGTATCTCCAGAATGTGAACAATTAAATCAAGATGAAGTTTGGTTCAGATGTATATGCAATAGGAAAAGTGACAAGGGACACCTGTTAATTCGGAGAGCGCCGACAGAGCAATATAATCAGGCCATTATGCAGGAAAAGTGCCCGCTTTGCCAAGCACCCTTTTTTTCAGATCAGCAGTATTTACAAGTACCAGTAGCTCGAGTCTTTTGGAATTCGTCATATCCCAGCATCGACTGACCCTCGCCAGAAAGCCTCGATTAAAAATGCCAGTCCAAAAATACGACACCATCGGAGACTCCTACAATGACGTCGCCCAAATCACCACAGGCAAACTCCAACTAGCAGCCATACAATCCCTAATTGGCGACGTCAAAGGACTCACCATCCTCGAACTAGCCTGTGGGCCAGGATTCTATTGCCGAAAAGCCATCTCATGGGGTGCCCACCACGCCACGGGAATAGACATATCCCCAAGGATGATCGAAGCAGCACGCAGCAGCGCAAAAGGGGACAAGCGAATTGAATTCCACATTGCAGACTGCAGCCAGCCATTGAACATCAACGTGGGACAATTCGACGTCGTCCTGGCACCATGGTTACTAAACTACGCCCGAAACGAGCAAGAGCTTATAGGCATGTGGCGCAACATCTATAACAGCCTGAAGCCCGGTGGTAAAGTGATCGGGATTAGTCCGAACCTGGAGCTACTGGATGATGGTCCTGCGGCGTTTCCTCGGGAGCGGCGTTTCGGGCAGGATTTGGAAGTGCTGGGTGCGATTGAGGATGGGGGGTTGGAGGTTCGGGCGACTTTGTATACGTCCACGCCTTTTTCTTTTACTAATTATTATCTGCCGAGGGTGCTGTATGAGAGATCTTGTTTGTTGGCTGGTTTGCGTGGTTTTCGGTGGACGTCTTTTGCTGATGAGGCTCTTCTGGGTGATGTGGATTGGGATGCGTTTTTGACGTGTCCTCCTTTCTTGACTTTTACGGCTGTAAGGCCTTTGGATGTCTTGAAATGAGGCTGTTAACTGGCTCTTCTTTTTGGAAGGAGGAAGTATATGGTATCTGGATATCTGGTACATGTACTATAATTGCCATTATTATTATAGATGCACGTAACCCCGAGATCCTACTCCTCAAATAAGATCTCACGGATTTGAAATTTTTGTGGAGTCCGCAACAGGAAGCATTGCAGTCATCGGTGGATATATACGAACATCAGCTCTAAGAAAGGCTGAAAATGACTTCCCGTTTATCAACTCCGCGATAAACAAGTGGGGTCGACCTCGGCTTATAATCAACATCAACACTGTCAGCAATTAGGTAACCGAGAGACCTCACTTCTTCTCTGTACGTTCACGAAGAAGTAGCTGCCAGAACAGTATACTATAAAAAAAAAAGGGAAACCGACGCAGAGTATCAAAATGGCAGCGCCACCTCTCCCCTCCGCGCCTCAAGTGTCTTTGGGACAAAACGTTCTCCTTCAACCCCCACTTTCGCGATGCGGGCGTGGACCCGGTCTAATAATCATCCGCCCGTATAGCTATGCAGTATGTCAAGCAAAAAATACCAGTCTTGACCCGGAGCCCCTACAGAAATGGGCAGAGGAGAGTTATGCGGTGGTGCAGATCACGTTGGATCATGAGACGAGTGTGGATGAGAGCGGTGTTTTGGCGCTTGTGGAGAAAGGCATTGAAGCATTTGAGTCATCAAATGAGTGTGAGAAGAAGGATAGATTCGCCACACTAGGTATGAGGTAGTCTATTATTTTACGAGAAAGGCACGCTGATAGGATATAGTCTACGGTTCTCCCGCCGATTATGCGCCTGAGTTCGGAAATATTTTGGCCAATGTCATCACAGCCTTGAATAAAAAGCTTGCGGCTGCAGTCTGTTTCAGCTCCTGGAATATAAGTGAGCAATCGGTTCCTATTCTCTCACATATTCCTAGGAACCTCGAGTCTGCGGGTCCTGTAAAGAAGGAGAATGACACATTTTACTCATATGCGGATGTTTCTTCCGCCGGGTTTATCGTCCCCGGGCATGCTGACTTCAAAATCACGGCTGCCGGAGTCGCACACACACGATCCCTGACATTCCTGAAGAAACAGCTGAATGGACCGTACTTCGATCTTGAGAAGATCTGGGATGAGCACACATGGTACGAATTCGGGGATCGATCTGTAGAAAAGACCATGGCGACGATGGTGCAAGAGCCGTATGTCAACCATATCCCGACCGTGAGTCTCGCCTCTCCCCCCATATACACGACTATATCCTCAGACTGACGCAACAAGATGACGGGGGGAATCGGACGAGCACGATTGAGCAAGTTCTACCTGGAGAATTTCATTTTCAACAACCCCACCGACACCGCACTGGAACTCATCAGCCGGACGGTCGGCACGGACCGGATCGTCGATGAATTTATCTTTAGCCTGACACACAATAAGGAGATCGACTGGTTGTAAGTATAAACGCCATACCTTAGTACATACCGTCCATCATACCGCTCTGGTCGATGGCGTTATCCCGACCATAACTGACTGGAATAGACTACCCGGCATCCCACCAACTGGAAAAGCGCTCCGTATCCCATTTACTTCAGTTGTGAACATTCGTGGAGATCGTTTGTATCACGAACATATCGCGTGGGATCAGGCAACAGTGCTCATACAGCTGGGTCTGATGCCGGAATACCTTCCCTACCCGTATGCACTTCCCGGTGGACAGCTGCCTGGGCCCGGAAAGAGATTTGAGTATCGGGTGCCTGCTGCCGGAGTTGAGACGGCTATGAAGTTGCAGGATGAACATGCAGTGCCGTCAAATGGAATGTTTGAGTTTAAGGTGCGCGAGGTAGATGATAAATGATGCGATGATGGCGTGATACAGGGAGGGCAAATCGTGTAGATATTACAAAGCGAGTCGAAAGAGGGTCGAGGAGGCCAAAGCACATATCGGAGAATGGCGGAAAGATGTATATTACGTCGTAAATCTGATTTTAAGGAGGGTTCACTGGCCATCTGCCCTTTTTTGCTCAGACCGCTGGAACAGCGGAACAGAAATGGGAAGCTGTTGGGTTAAGCATCAGTCCCAGCGAATAGTACGCTATTCTCACCGCGTAAGCCCACGTGCATAACATAATCATTTCTCAATGTCAGAGTAATGAGTAATAATGGTCAACGCCTGCGTTTGCCCTCTTCCATATCTGTGGGAGTAATGGATCAACACGCTTCGAGTATACCCTGCGGCACTTTTAGCCCTAAAGCAACAAGGCAGAAGCGAAAAGAAAATTCAAGGCTTGAGATAAGAAACTCAAGATCCCACTATAGTGGAGAACCGTTGCCGGCTGCCTGGAGTAGGACCGGTACTCGACATGGACGGACGAAAATCTCAGGCAACAATATAACACTCAGCGAACCATTGGCTCTACGGAGTACAAGCATAAAGAACATCTCTTATTGCTTTATTCAGAGCCCACAGTATACGCAATCCCATGGCCACCAGATGGAGGTCAATAAACATGGTTACTTTGAGACCCACCTTCGCGATGTTACTTCCACAATCAGTATACCTAGAGAACCAACGAAGCCCCGAGAATATGAGTGATATTCATAGAGCACATGCATCCGTAAGGATTGAGCGGAATGGGTGAGAATACGTCTAGTGCCCCTCCACTACGCCTGTGAGAGAGTTCTGTGCCTCACCTTACAGAGACCGGGGGGATCTGATCGACATCTTTTTGTCCGTAACAGCTGGCCGCTGCATGAGTGGAGAATCCCTGAAGTTGGGTGTTGGTCTCAAGTCATTCCGTAGAAAATGACCGTACGAACCCCACGGAAGGGAGCAGCAAATACGCGTTCCAACGTCCAACTGGATGGTTTAGCACATAAACATCCTAGATGGTCACACGGGGAATTTCCAATGTTGCACCGGACATGGGCGGATATGACCGTATTTGTAAATGAAAACTCTTATTCCAGGCCCAGATCCAATGTGGCGCTCGGGCCATTCATGCCAGGTGAAACCCAGTCAGTCAATGACTGTCTATGAGCTTGGCCTCGGTGACAACAGACCACGCAGAGTTTTCTATACTGGCGTAAACTGTGTGGGCTTCCGTAGAAAAAGTCAGCAAGCAGGGAAGTGGAGCGTGCACATTATGTTCCAGAAGATGTCTTAGAAGTCTACGATGGCTCGGAGGCTCCGAATGACAAACAGGGTTACCTGACGGAGTAGACTAGCTCTTCTGAGTAGATTGTGGTTTCAAAAGAAAGTAAACCAGAAAAGGAACACACGTGGAACTAAAATAAAATCAAATGTCACGGATCGGGTGTCGACGAATTGGGGGAAATGTGATGCTGTAGGCAGACATAATACCAAAAAGTAGGGTTTGGTGAGGCTCGTGTCGGGGAGACTCAAGTGAACCACGGTAACAGATACTCCGAAGAAGTTTCAATCACAGAGGGCAGTAAGACAAAGAAGGGGCCAATACGGGTCACTAATTAAACTTGGCTGCTAAGCTTTTGTCCTCACTGTTATTGGAGCAGTTAATCCCTCAAACTGCCTCGCGGCCAATAGTGTTGATGCACTGCCTCAAAATTGATCCACTCTGGCGTTTGGGCCAAATTTAGCTGTTGCATTGCAGTTGTCAATGTCTGTCACCCATGCAACCTTCCGAAAGGCCTATAATTCAGCGAAGGGCACGGCATGTGTCTTCAGCCAATATCCTTGGGGCCTTACTAGTATCATGGTGAATATGCGCACGGGACGCGTCGGCTATGTAGTGAAATAGCAAGAATACAATAGACGAGTGGCGCAATCGGAGGCCAACATTGATCAGTATACGCGACCGGCTATCATTGCCTCTTCAAGCCCCTGAAAAGAAGCTTGCCGTGGGACATCGTTTTGGACCCTGAGCCAACGAGAGGCGCAGCCAATTGCTGATCCTGCGACAGATTACCACATTCCCCTATCATCTTTAACTCTTGAGCCTTAAGGTTTTCTTACAACTACAGGCAACCACCTTTGCATGACATGTCTTGCGGACAAAGGATGATCGCCAAACTCTCTCGTATCTCAGTGTAGATTTCTTTCCTAGATGAGGCTCTCCGAGAGGAAATAACAATGTAGCTAGAATCAAATCGCGAAAAAAAGATGATCAGCACTTCGGTAGTCTCATGGTGAGACGGGCTAACAGGCTACTCAGAAGAAATTTTTCTTGGTCTTTTTTTAGCCCGTTACTCAGCCTTGGATATCTGGACTCGATCGATCCATGCCCAGGAAATCATTGACCCACGAGTCTCACCTTGTCCAATCATATTGTACGCCAGTCCCTAGTCTTAATTAGTTTGGCTATTGGGCTCAGTTCTTTGCCTGAAGGTGTCAGTCGGCGATCGTCCAGTGTTGGCCATCGGATGTTCCCCAGATAGTTAGAGTGAGTCAAGGTTCTTAGTTTACTTAATGTATTAATAAATGCATATAAGCCTTGTTGGCCCCTCTTACCTTTATATAATGCCCGCTGACTCCCGCTTTTCTTCCTTTCCCTTGACGGTTGCCACTTCTGTACAAACTCTCGCCCAATTACAGAAGTAAATAATCACGACCAGTCACGCTTTCGCCCTAACCCTTAACTGCCACCTTCAACTTCCAACCTTCACTACTACACTCTTCCCGCCATCGACTACTACTTCTTTCACCATGTTGCTGCGTTTCCTGTCTCTGACAGGCGCGCTCTGTTTAAGCAGCTGTGCTGCGTTGTCTCTGCCCGAGCATAAGGTCGAACTGTCCGGGCTGGATCCTGAGTTTCGAAGCCGAATCATCTCCAACGCCCGTCCAACAAACGTGCCGACCGCTCTTTGTTCATTCTCAGATCCTGAATGTTCGAAAGACATTGATCTTCATTCCCATCTGGTGCGTTTGGACCCATGAAATTGGAAGCAGGATGAGGACGCCGTCGCTAACTCAGGCAGACCCTGGACTTCTCTACGGAAAATGGCACCCTCCTCGCCAACCATGACCCGATCTTCCCACCTACTTTCCCAATGCGATTTCATGCAGTCCGGCATTTCCAATCGGGCCGAGAGACGGTCGACTTGGCCTATGAGCTCGATGTCCGACCCATGCCGTCACGCCCAGACGAAGAACTCGGGGGCGTCTTCCTTTTGAAACTCAGACTGTTTGACCTACAAGGGCGGCCCGCCTCCGATCACCTCGTCACGATCACACTGACTCAAGACTCGGACGGAAACCTCCAAATCACTCAACTTGAGACCAACCCCATCCTCGGCCATCACCACCACGACGGACCACCATCATGGATGGCCCAATTAACCGCTAGCCTTCAGGCGATGAAGGACGCTGTCAAGGACTGCATGCACGGTCCGGGATCGAAGCATCCGACCGTGAGACCCCAGCATGGCCACATGCAACCTCCAGTCGACAAGCACCACACGATCGCTCCAGAGCATCACCGCTATCACCACAGGCCCGGCTACTGGGCCGGTCGGGAGAAGAACTTCGGGAGATTGATGCGCCCGGTCGTCATGCCCGCCCTTCTAGGTGTAATGGCCGGAGTGGTTGCGTGTATGGTTGGATTTATCATGGGCAAAATCATCATCTCAGTGTTTTACTGTGTTCGGGGTTGCAGGAAGCAGAACCAGAAGAAGGCTCAGACTGCTATTCCCCGGATAGTAGTGTTGGACAGCGCTCCCAGTGAAAAGGAGCGTTTGTTGGCGATGTGCGATGATCAGTGTTGACCATACATGATACGATCTCTTTACTCTCTTTACTTCCCTTTTTTTCTTTTCATATGTTCTTTTTCGTCGGATAGCATATATATACCCAATGTAACATAGACTTTTGATGACTACACTTTTTACACAATAACACTCGAACATAAGCCCATTAAGATCTTACCTTTCCAACAATCAAGGCCGGCTGGCCCAATGGCAAGGCGCTTGACTACGAATCAAGAGATTGCAGGTTCGATCCCTGCGTCGGTCAATATTTTTGATTTTTGAGCCCTGGTTTCGATCGATTTTTGTGCAGTGAAAAGTTCTTCACCTGGGTAGCTCCACTATCCGAACCAGCCCTACACCCGAGTGAGTGGATCCTACTTGGATCTATTTTGAGCGTTCGTCAACCGTTGAGGCGCCGTTATTGATATTTTCAAGGTCATTCATTTCCTTCGGTTGTAGAAATAATTTGAGTTATTATCTTAATGATCTCTATCTGGTCGTGGTGGACCGATGAAAAGGGCTGCTGGGAATGGGAACATCGCCGCTACTGCGACATTCCGTGAACGGAATCTGTATCTAGTGGCATATTACTCCGTACTACAACTATTCAAACAGAATAATCTTCAGGCATCTTTTTTCTTGTTCCTATCGTATGATTTCAATCTCGTAAACCTCTTCCTCTGTACATTGGTGCCTAGAATGGGAACTTGATGTCACTTACCCCTTTGGGACCCCGACGTCGTATACGAGAATCCATGTCCTCCACACCTGAATATATATAGTAAAGTAGAGACACTATACCTAAGGTACAACACAGCAACGTGACCACAGTACCCAATTAACAACCCAACCGAACCTCTATCCCCAAAGAAAAACCTACATAAAAAAAAGAACAAAAACAATCAATAACCAAAAATGCCACCACCACCAAACCCCATCCCCCTCCCAACCCTCGAAACCTTCACAAAAACCACCCTCCACCTACCCCAAGCAACCCTAACCCGCCACCCCAAAATCGAAGGCGACGATCATATGATCTTCACCATCACCGAATCCCCAAACCACCTACTCCGCGTGACAAAACCCCGCAAAGACCGGCCTTTAAACGGGACTCAAATGCAACAGTTTGACATCGCGATACGGGAACTCATCGCGGGTGAATACGTGGCTCGCGGGTTATCTGGGGATATCATACCTAGATCTGTCGGGCATGAAGTTCTCACTGGGGATGGGGTTTATGCTGTTTCTTTGGAGACAATGTTAGATGGGACTGGGTTGGTTCGAGGTGGGCTACGCCAGTATTTGAGTGAGAGGACGGTTGAGGGGTTGGTTGAATTGATGAGGGTTTTGAAGGAGGTTAATGTTTCTGGGTTGGAGGGGAGGTTGAGGGATCTTGGGATGGTTGGGTTTGAGGTTCCTTTTATTGAGTGGCCGGAGATTCGGGGGATGAGGGAGAGGGCAGTCGTTGCGTGGAGGAGGTTGGTTAGTAAGGGGCAGATTATGGGAGTTGATTTTGGAGTTAAGGATGAGGGTGAGTTTGAGGGGTTGGGCGAGAGGAAGACGGCGTTTATAGACCGCGTGAGGTATCCTGGTGAAGGGGTGTCGCGGCAGGTGCTCATTCATAATGATATTAAGGGTGAGCATATTCTTGTGGACTCCGATGGGCGGATTACTGGCATATTGGATTGGGCTGATGCGGGCGTTGGATATCCTGCGACCGATATTTCGGGGTTGGTGTTGACTGTTGGGATGCGGTTGGCTGTCAGAATTGCAAGGGAGGTTGAGTATAACGAGGATGAGGTTCTGCAGGGTCTGATGCAGGCCCGGTGTGAGTGTGTTTTGAGGTTGGATGATCGGTTGAATGGTGATGATGAGTTGACTCCGGTTGATCTGTTGAAGGGTCAGCTTGTTTTGTCGATGGAGGATTGTGAATATGTCGATTCTTTGTGAAATTCTAGAGAATTGGGAGTATGATATCGGGAGTATGTATATAGGATTGCTATGGTATAGAGCTTGTCGGGTTGAGACTGTAGATAGTAAATATATTGATCGAAACTAGATAGAACAACATGACAAATTATGGTTGACTGCGTATTAAGCTCATGTCCCAGATTTAATACGAGGAATCCACATAGAAGCATCTTCGTCAGTAGAGCACCACTGTGAAATCATCTGTCTAATATCTAGAGTGAGTCGTCTAAGACAAGTGCCTCAATGGTCGACTTGGAAGGATTCTTATAGTAATTGTTGGTAATTCTATTTACTAAATACATGCAGAACGAGGAAGAAAAGCTTTAAACAACAGATATAATGAATTACGAAATCTATCCAAGAACGACCTGACAGCCTTATCTTTACGAGGTAAGACGGAACGATGGTTTCTTTGATCATTGATAGCGAGATCTATGTAACTTCCCTATATAGAAACGATCGTTCAATATGCAGTAAGACATCGAAAACGGAATATGATCTGCAAGTTACAGCCCACGTCATGACCTACAAAGATATATGATGTATCTGAAGCCAAAATAAGGGCCATAGCATGCTATGCGTTGGCGTTATGTGTCATGGGCTGCAGCACACTAATTTTATATTTCTGACTGCAGGCTTCGTCAACAGGACAATGGAGATACGCGTAACCCATAAGCATATCCCAAGGCGTAGTCACACGCTGACGACAGTTGCATTTTAACTACAACGGCATTTAGACATAAAAGATTATTAGGTTGAGGCAACATTAACTCTGACATAGGGCGGTGATAGGGTACTGCTATGTAGCGACCATCAACAAATACTTTAAGCTTCATCTGCAAGGCCACCTCGCATCTGTCACTGCGAACTACAATTAGACATCAAAGTTGACCATGAACTGGTCGCTGCCTGACCGCTTATTTGTGGAAGAAATAACGGAGTTCGTATGAACTGATTGTCCAGCCCAGTTGCGCGAATATGTCGTCCGAGATGTATTATACCTCAACCTAGGAACTATAGTAACCTTATCTATTTATTATTTGATTGGGTCGGCCAGAACCAATACTAATAAATATGTATATTCTCTAGAAGAATAGCTATTGAAGATTTATTGATTTGTTTTGTACTAGTCTTCCTCGACTCTTCATGTTATAGGACAACCGTCAAGCTATAGGACCCTATCAATCCGAATGCCGAGTTTAAATCGAGATAAATCACTTGAACTTATAACCCATAAATATGGAATGTGCGGATCCCACTCTTAACTCCATGGGGGGAAAACTTAGAAATGTCGATCTATACCATTTTACGCACGTGGGAGTCTCTCCATCATTATCCGTCCTCATTGGTAGATTTAAGCCGGAATTCGTTTCCTCGGGAAAGCATTCCTGGAATCGGCATGATCTACTTGATCTATAGAAACGGGCGATATTTTGATTTGGAATACGGAGTCAACACGAATCAATTGGAAATCACAGACTTCGTCGAAGGTCTTGAAGGCCTCGAATTGGTTTAGAATATGCGCTGTCCGTGTTTCTGTGTCATTACATGCTAAGCTACTTCAAGAACTTAACTGTGTAGTATTGCCCAAGCAAGGGTTGCACCTTCGTTCATTAGTATCAAGGAGGCAGTGACTGAATTTAGCTCAGGACTGTGAATATATATCCCTTACGGTAAGAGGTTCCATGAAACTTCGCTTCTGTTTAGTTAATTATAGCTATTGTTACTTACTGTATGCAGGTCGGTATGACTTGCATGCGACAAGAAAAAGTTATGAATTTGCTTTCTGAACCGACCTTGGCCGGTGTCTAATCTACTCGGTCGCTTATCTTGACTGAGGTCTAGATTCATCATCACATGGATCTAATTTAGTATATGCACTAGGGGGAATTTTTGGTCGTTCTAATGAGGCCCGGCCGAGGAAAGCTCTGCGAGAACTGAGAAGTTAGAAGGTTGACAAACTTTCGGCTGCAGTTCGGTGACCACCTACCGGACTGTATCTCTTCATTTCTGGGTCTCTCTGGGCTAGTGTGGCTCATGCGAGGGCCGCATGACTTGAAAAGCTTGGGGTTCAATTCTATGACAGTGTGGCTGATCGGTGTTCTCCGTAATTAGGCTACAGGTTTTTTTCAGCTAGCATCGAGTCAAGGATGACATTATTTCTACAATCGATAATTCATGACCAAGGTTAGTTCTTGATTGTGAATAAACTGTGACGTTTACTCGGACTTTGTCCGGCTTTCCTTAGGGCTGCGGGAAGGGGCAGCTGCACCGCCACAGTTCGTTCGAATCTCTTTTTTCTTTTCTTTTCTTTTTTTTTTT